ATTATTGATATGAGTGTCTGATATATTATTTTGATACGAGTGTTTAAAATACGAACAGAGGAGAAACAAATAAATTTTACCGGCGAGATATGGAAAAATAAAAAAGGTAAAAATTGGAACAATGAAACATTCCAAAATCATAATTCTAATTTTGTTGTATATTTGAAAATTTTAGAAAGCATGTGATGTATTTTAAAATATATAAAAAAATTTTGCTACGAGTATAATTTCCTTTCATTTAATAAGCATGTTATTTTAGTTTTCTATTATTAGATGTACAATTAGTTAACTTTTTTTTTTCCGAAAAAAATAGAAATAAATTTTACAATTAAAGAAAGTAATCCTCAGAGATTTGTTTTGCTTTTCCAACAAGTCCACCATTTATTATATTGTACAATTTCCTTAACTACACAAGAAAAAAAGCAGTTAATGGGTTCAAGGGAAGAAAATATTAATGTAGTTTCAATATAGTCAAAGTCAAGGCCAAGTCTTTAATGCGTGATCGATGAAATAAATGATAGATTAATGTGTATAACTATATAAAGCATCAATCACTTTCCAATTAAACATTGTATAATATAATGTTTGGTAAACATAGAGTTCTATTTTTTGATTTTTCTAGCGTATCATTGAAATTTATATTCTTTCATACATTTTATTATCATGGGTTTTCTTTTTTTTTTGGTCGATTGAACTTGTATTATTTCCACTTTCTTCAAAGATGATGTTTCTGTCTTCGGGATAAAAGTTAAAGAAAAAAAAACAATTCAAACCTATAATTTTTTTTCCTCAATAAAACAATATAAGACTCATGTAAATGTGAACTTATGATTTTCTCGTCGAAGATATATGTCTTGACTAGTTGAACTAAGTTCAAATTGATATGCCTTGACTAGTTGAACTAAGTTCAAATTGATAAATTCGTAATCTATTACAAAAGTTTAAGAACTTACTTACTTTTAATTTAGTTTAATTATTAATTTATAAAATTGAGATAATGGTAGAGATATAGATGAAAGTTATTGTCCTCGAAATTGAAGGGAAAAATATTCTCCATTCCCATTTCAGCCCTATGTGGGGGCGTTCCTTCCAAAAAAAAGTGACACCCCAACTTTTCCTTTTTCTTTTATTTTTTAAGTCTCTTTTTACCGACCTTTATTTATATTTTTTAATACAATGTGTGACATGAGAATTCAATTTATCGATATTTCAGTTGAAAATATATCTTAACAGTTGAACTATCTTCAAATGGATATTGTTCGTTTTTTCTTCGCATGGGTATATATATGAATCTTTTTTTTTATTAATCACTTATAAAATTATTGTCCCCTCCATTGCCTTTTATACATTCATTTATATTTGAATGGGTAATTCTTCACATTACATTCTAGGCGACCACGACTAAGTCGAAGTAGTTATATTCATAGCTCGTATCAGGGTGCAATGTCTAACTTCAACTTAAATTAGTATTTACATCAATGTGGTGTTGAGTTCAGTTAGAATTATTTCATGTAACTTCATCTTGGAATACAGCTATTTTACCATCAGTTGTTCCACGAGTGGGGTGGCACGTTGACCTCAGCCATCGACCGTATCGCATTAGTACTGTGCCTCTATTCGAATCGCCATCCATTTGTTAGAGTGCTTTGGAATGTTGTTCCACTCTCACGAAATGCAAATGTCTGAGAGTAGAGTATAAAAAGTGTTAATCTCTTACTCATGGATGTCGTAATTATGTTAATGCGAAACAACTTAGTTTAGTTCGACACTACCTCGATCTAAATACTAATAAAAGTATAGAAATTTGTTGGGTGTAGCACCCTACCATTACAAGTTTTCTATGCAGATTACCACCTCAATGGAAGTCATAGCACCTTCCTTTAATTTAGCAAGATTCATTTGTGCCAGACGTCGTGCATCAACAATTTGTTTTTCACTTTGCATACGCTTTTTCCATTTGTTTTGCACATATTTGTATCTTTGTTGATATATTAGTAGTATTATTATTCTTATAATGTAATCTTTGAAATAGTATCCTAGATAGACATGTTCCATGCTAGAATAAAGATTTGAGTATGAATGTAAAACTAACACCCTAGATTATTTGGTGAAAAATCACTTTCTTCCTCATAAATGCTTTGTCTGTGACTTTGCTTTTCTTTGTAACATGTCCAATTTAGAAATCACTATATTCCTATTTCTACTCTTTTAGTAAAAAATATTATTACTTTTGTGCATCCACCCTAAGATTTAAAAATTTTCAATTACCTACAAATTATATATATATATTCTACTACATTAAAATTGATGTTGCAGTTATATTAGAAAAGTTTTGTTGATTTAATAAGCAAATCACCCAAGTAGATAGTTAGCTAAACTAGCTAAAAGTAAATAGGTAAGTCAATAAGTGGCAGATAGTAATGTTGAAGTCTCAATTTTCATGTCAAACCGAACATAGCTCAAGTAGTTAAGGTACCTATCTCTGATCAAAAGGTTACGAGTTCAAACCCTCATCCTGACAATGTTGTACCGATTAGTTGAAGGTAGATTTCAGCATACACGTGGCAGACGATGAATGGATGCAAAATATGACAGTTAGATTTTACGGTAACCTTGGTAAAGTTGGTCAAATTCTTGATTCAACTAGTTAGATAAATAAAAAAATCGTAAAAAATATATAAATGAACAAATAAACAAAATGTTGACATATAATATGGCAATATACATATTATCTCAACATGTTGGTTAAAAAATGGAAAAATTTTTCAAGATTTAGGGACCTAATTAAATTTTGGTGTAATCTAGAGGCTGACCATCACTAAATAGATTTGGTGGTTAAACATTAAAGTTCATAAATTTAAACTTTTATCCTTTTTTATGTTTTCCTCGTTTTTTGGGAATTGGAAAATGCAAAATTAAAATATGATGAAAGCGTGGTGTGATTGGTTGGGTTAGTCACTGTGATCATGGGACATTATTGAGAGACTCAGGCTCATCTTTCCAACTGGGCCCCTCGATATTCTTCCGGCCCCCTAAAATTCCCATTGTGCCCCTGCGTTGACTCCCAGCTCTAGTACCCTCGCAGGGTAATACAGTCATTATGTGAGGTAGATAATGCCATAAAACTTCAGAAATAATAGTCAGAGAAATTAAATAACCGTGGGGGTGTGGAATAATGTGGGACCGGACCGGACCGGACCAAGAATCCGGCTCTTTAACTGGAGTTAAGTGGGGCCCGCTCTATTTTTTTTTAATTTTTTTTATTATTGTTATTTTTTTTAAGCAGCCGATGAGTCCGGGCTTGATGATGACGGGTCCCACGAGCCGGTCCGTGAACTTCCACCCGATTTTTAACTACGCCGCGGGTCCCACATCTCTCTTTCTCTTTACTTTAGCCGATTAGGCTCGCAGCTGAGCCGATAGAGCTAGGAGAGCCGACTAAGCCAAGCCGTTCTTTAAAAGAGTACCTTAAATAAATATTATACATTTTAAGCTAAATTACAAAAAATAATCCTTTGTTTCAAAAATATTTTTATCAAATTTTTTATATAAATTAAAAAAATCATTTTGGATAAACATCGGTTGGTATTATAAACAGGAAATTGACGGGGAAAATCTAGAATGACATGATAATGTAATTAATATTCCATTTCTAACGGAGAAATCTTCTTCCTTTATTATTAATTGAGCTTGTTTCTCCATTGTTTATTCAATTTTGTTCTAATCATTCTTTTAAAAAATTGATAGATTCTTCTATATTTTTTTGACTTAATCCACCTAAGCTTCTCTGTTAAAGGGTATTTTTAAAACGTTTATGAAATATTAAGAAAAGTATTGAAAGTTTTTAAAGGACGAGAGTATTTTTACTGGTATATTTTGCAATTTAGCCTATTTTAATATTTGTATCTTCAATTTGATGGAGTTAAAATCTTAAATTTCAAATTAACTTATTCAAATAAATACATTGGTAAAAAATTAGCTTTTTCAAGATAAATTTATTTTCATCAATAATATCTAAAAACTTACGAAACCAAAACATTTAAATTTATCAATGATATTGTTGTATCATTTAGAGAATTCAAAGTATTCATAAAAAGATATGTAATTTAAATTAAATGAGAGATTATTGGGTAGAAGTAGAATATATCTATCACTTTTAGATTTGTCAAATTTATAGTGAAATAAATATCTTTTTGCTTCTCCATCATATATATGTAGTAGCATAAAAGTCCTAGCAACACTAAATAATTTATCTATTTGAACCTAAAGAATACATGAAATAGCTACCACATAGATCTAATATCATGGAAATGGTAGCCACACTAAATTATTCATCTATTTAAACCAATAAATAGCTATCACATAGTAGCTAATTTTACGCATGCAATCAGAAACAAAAATATATAATTGATAAAAAAAAGATTAATAGCTATTTCAAATGGATTTTATGAGTTTCAATCAATTTTAATCTTCAAAAAATAAAATAAAAAATGCTATATATATTATAGTAATTTTTTTATTTCTCCGAATTTAGTATATATTATTATTTTAATACATTAATATGGGATGAGAGATTGAACCTAAAACCTTTATAGAATGAGTAAGATGTCTTGACTCGCAGTAAAAAGTTGCAATTTAATTCCTTACATTTTAACATTTTTTTTTTGTTGATCAAAGTTAAAATTAGGTAATGATAAGTTTACATAATATAATACTTAAGAGATGAATTAGGTCAGGTTAAAAACCAAAAGTATGGCTATTATTTTAGAAATTTAGAGGAGTTAGAAACTTATAAACATCATATCAAACATCGACCACCAAAGATGGTACAATTGAAAAATGTCAAAACACAATGAACTAATCTGAAACGTTTTAAACAACATATACTAAATTAAAGAAAACACTCAAACATTAGAGACTAAATCATAAGACTCGTACTAGAAACCAAACTCAAACTCCATACAACCAAAAGTATCATTTTTGAAACCGGATAATGTATAAACAATATCCAACCCTCTAGAATAAAGAGTATCACTTTTAACATCTCAACAACCAATTAAAAACTAAATATCGGTTTTGAAACTTTAGGATAAATCAATTCCAAACTCCCCAATCACTAAGTGTAACTTGAAAAAGAAACCATTGGATGCTATGGAAGCTAAAATGGTGAAGGCTAAGCCGAGGTGAGAGAATGGGTATTGTGAATTGTGTGAGGTAAGTGGGTGTATCCAGTTTATATATTCCCTCGCATCCTCCTCTTCCCCACATCACTTTCTCCATTTTCTCTCTGTTTCTTCTTCTTCTTCTTCTTCTTCTTCTTCTTCATCTTCAATTCCCACTGATTTCGACGCACACCCTCTTTCTGAACCAAAACAGAGGAGTTATTAATAAGTGCAAAGTGTAAAAAAAAATCCCACTATCTACCAAAAAGGGCCACCCAGAATGGAGAGAGTGAAAAACTGATCACTATTCGCCACCACTCTTTTTCTTTCTTCTTTTTCAATTTCACGGGAGCTTCAGCTTCTTCTGGTTTTTGTCGTTCTTCAATCTTTTTTTCGAGATGGCTACATTTTTCTGATTTTGGACATCTCAATTCTGTGCCACTGTTGCGGGAAAGACGGGGGATGGACGATCAAACTCCTCTCTCTCTTCATTTTCCTTTCTGTAGTTTCTAATTCCTTCTTCCCAAATGGAAGTCACCGAAGTTTTACCTAGAAATCGCATTCACTCCACCGGGGTTTCCGATCATCACCAGTTGTTGTTGTCTTCTCCGGTGAGTCCCTCAAGTTCGTTACACAATTTAATGGTGGAATTTCGTTTCTGATTTCTTCTTCGTGCTGTTGTTTCAGGCGGGTAGTGATTGATATTGAAGAATCAGATCTAGAAGTAGAGTTAGCAGGAGTGAAATTATGGCCGGTGGCGGTGGCGGTGGTGGTGGTGGTTTGATTTCTCCGACGAGCAATAATAGGAAATTGGGTTCGTCTTTCTTTGGTTCTCCCAGATTGTTTACGAGTTCTTCTTCAAAGGGGTTGTCGGAAACTGAGGCTGTGATGAGCCCGACTTCAATTCTCGAACCGTTTTTGGGTCTGAGAAATCCGTTGTGGGCGGAATCGAATTCGCCAAGAACACAAGTAACGGAGTCCAAACGGCCATGGGATTCGAAAGGGATTGGCCTCGGGATTGTAGATGCTCTTACGGAGGAGAAATCGGATCCAGCGCCCACAAAACCCGAGACCCGAATGGTTCTATTGGGATCTCAGTTGAAGATCCAAATCCCTCCTCTGCAACCGCCGTTCGTTTCTCCGGCCGACGAGTCCCCAAAATCCCCAGTGGAATTCGGGATCAAGACGAGGAATTCCCATCTGGGTTCCTTCTCCCCCGGCTCGTCTCTGTCGCCGGCGAAGAGATCAGCGTTTGGATCGTCCAGCTCCGGCCTCGAGACTCCGAATTCTCCTCGGGTTTTCGCCGGGTCTCTCTCCGCCGGCGAGATCGAGCTCTCCGAGGACTATACCTGCGTAATCGCCCACGGCCCGAATCCTCGCACCACTCACATATTCGGCGATTGCGTCATCGAGAGCGGCTGGTCCAGAAAAGAAAATGGGCTTTTCACAGATCGAACAAGTTTCTCCTCGGAAAATTTCCTCAGTTTCTGCTACCACTGCAAGAAGAATCTTGAACAGGGCAAAGATATTTACATGTACAGGTTCGAAACTCGAATTCTCCTGCATATTATAACTGTCAACCGTCATTAAATGACTTATAAATTCATCCGTTTAATCATTTTCAGAGGGGAAAAGGCATTTTGCAGCCATGAGTGCCGATACCAGGAGATGATGTTGGAGGAGGGAATTGACAATTGATAATTGATAAACTTGCCGATCAAAGCCATTTTTCCTGGGAAAAAAAAAGCAAGTTGTAAAATAACGGTGGGATTTTGATTCTTGGAAAATTTCCGGGGAAATTTTTCCATCTCTTCTTTGCTCTCTGTTTCCTCTCTTTTTGGCCTTTTTGTTAGAAGTACAGTGACAAGAAGGCTCTGATGAAGATGTAGAGTTGGAATTTTGTTGTAATGTTTAATTAGAGAATTGTATTTCCTTATACGTCCAGATTTTTTTTTTGCTTTTAATATTTCCAGTGGCGATGAAATGATGATGTGTATGGGTTTAATCTCCAATTTTTAATCAACTCCTAATTATGCAACTACCACTAATTACCTCATTAAAGTTGGATTATTTCTTTGCCTTCCACCATCTTTGACATATTCTCTAAATATAATTACACTAACTTTTCTCAAAACCATATTACTTTTTTCGTTGTCACTTTTAATAGTTATTTAAAATTCCTTTTATAATCACTCTCCTCTACTAAAAAGCTTATTGAGTGATTTTTCATAACAACGTTCTCGAATCTAAACTAGTTATGACATATATCTTGACTAAAAAGTTGTGGAAATTAGTTTTCACCTCACGTATTGGTATACTAAAAAAAATACCTTAACTATGTTTTAATTGAAAATTTATAAAATAATCTATTAATCACTTAATATACATTATTTTCAACTATTTATATGTGCATTTTCGAACTGTACTATTATGACATATAACTACTAGTCTACTTCCGTAATTTCAAATCTCTTTTACTAATGCAAAGTCGAGGGAAAAAACGGGTATAGATAAATATCTAATGCGCTCCTGTCGTGTTCATTATCGCTGCGATGGATGCCACAACTTTATATCTTGTGTTTTAAATTGAAATTCTCACCCTATCCATTGTAACTTTGTATAAATAAAGAAAAAAGAAAAAGGAAAAATTGATGAACTCCTAAAATTGAGGGGAAAAGAAAAACCACATTTTAAGAGCCCTAAAGGTATTCACTCATGGGCCCAAGAGTTTTAGCTAAAACGGGCCGAGGTCCAAGATCCAAAAAGCATTCCCAGCCCAAATCCACGGGGCAATATCGTCATTTGACTAAAAAGAAGAAAAAAAAATACTGGAGCACTTTGACCTTGAATGGATAATGTGATTAAGAAATGAAGTTGCAGAAATGGAAACTGGAAAGGGACAAGAACTTCAGATAAACAAGGGATAGTGATTGAGTTATTTTAATCGTACGGTTTCGTCCTCTTTCCCGATCCCTGCTCCACTAGATCTGCCGGCGGCACCGGCAGTGGCCCCATCTTCTGATGCGACGGGACCTACGTTAAAGCTTCATGTTGCTACCTGTTCCAACTACCCGATCCGATATGGAGGACGACGACACCGTCCCGATTTCCAACAATGGTAAGATCATCAATCACTCAACTCATTTCCGAGCATTATTCTGTTTATACCTGATTTCAATTCTTGCCGCCGAGGAATACGCATGCAACGTTTATTCATCTTATTTTGCTGAAAGAGAGCGAGTAATTGAGTCTGAATTTGATGCCATTGCTATGGTTGGATGAATCTTGAATATTCTTCGCGCTCAGCACTGGTTCTGTGGTTTATGTTTTGGTCCAGGTGTAGAAGAAGGGGAGCCGTTAATCTCTAGCGTGGATGGAGTGACGTCCTCTGGCAGTATTATTGCTTCTGTTCCGAGGACATTCGGATTCGGATACAGTTTGAGTGGCGTCAAATGCTTTGGTGTAGATTTAACTCCTGATAATGTTGCTGTGGCCATGGTGTATTTTGTTCAAGGAGTTTTAGGGCTTGCGAAGCTTGCTGTTAGTTTCTATTTAAAAGATGATTTGCATTTAGATCCTGCTGAGGTATGTAGTTTTTACATTCGTGTCTCTTTTCTGTTGAATTTAGAACTGGTAATGAACATTATCTTTGAATTTGTTGTTTCAATTTGATTGAAATTCATGTAAGCTGTTCTTCACATGGCTTAACTTCATCGTTTATGTTTTGCAGATGTTTTAAGAGCCTTAACTTAATTCTAACAAATTATGTATCTGACTAGACAGCTGTAATTTCTGGGTTCGCTGCATTACCATGGCTAATCAAACCTCTATACGGGTTTGTTAGGTATTAGTTCATCTCTCTCTCTCTCTCGCTCCATCCATTCCCCCGTTTGTTTTGGGAATAACTGATTGGTTATTGCAGTGACTCTGTTCCACTTTGTGGTTACCGAAGAAGATCATACTTGATTTTATCAGGGCTTCTTGGTGCATTCTCATGGAGTTTTATGGCCACCCTTGTTAGTAGCAAGTATGATGCTGCTATGTGTATACTTCTCGGATCTCTTTCTGTGGCGTTTTCTGATGTTGTATGTCTTTACTAATATTCTTTTGCTATCTTTTCATGTAAACACTTTGTTTCTCAGAAAATTCTCTTATTAATAAATGTAACAAAATTTTGGTAATTTCCGTTACTACCTACATTATTTTTTAGGAGA